TTTGCTTGGGAGGTGTCATGGGGAAAGCTGCCCTCTTCACAGCCCACTTGGTGCATAATCCAGTCAGTGGATTGCAGTTTTCTGGAGTGAGTTGTAGTCAAGAACTCAAGACAGTGGCAGCAGCGCATTAAATCAGGTGTATAACTCTTTTGAGCTCAGGATCCTGTGCAACTGAATAGATCATATACCCATGGAGCTGACCCTCTACTACATTAAATATCTCCTCATATATACACTAGAACATTTTATATCTTTATATGTTTGCACTGTAGTTTCTTCTTTCAGTTCTTGTTCATCTCCACCTAGACACCTCTGGTCATCTTTTATTATTCAGACTTCCATAGCACCCCAGCTAGAGACTACCATTCTGTTCTCTGTGCTTTCAGAGCCCTTGCACTTTATTGTATTGTACAATTACCATATGTATTGTGATTGCTTATGTTTCTCTTTTTAAGTGCGGGGATCAAGACTTTTATATCTAATTCACTATAGGGTTGGGTGTGTTACCTAGCATATAATTGTGGAAGAAAGGAAGAAAAAAAGGAAACTAGGTGAAAGAAAAAATCAATAAGCTTCTTTGTTCCCCGAAATTCATGCTTTTAAGTACAATTTAAGAACTTCAGTGGTTTTATATAAGTGACGTTACACATAAGAAAACTTTGTGTTAGTCATCCAAGAAAAGTTATACTGGCAAAATTGTAAGGACTAATTATTATTAAAAGGGTAATTTTTACCTGTTTAAATTACAAAATGTCACAGCTGGGAACTCCATCTTTTCCACATACTGAACCTCTATGGACGTTGTGATGGGCCATGTGAAGTAGTTGACCAAGCGACTGTAGATCTGCCATATCAGGAGTGAGACTGAGCCCAGGACCACCACCAACCAGATCGCCTTGCGAAGTTTGCTTCTATTCCGAACAATATTGTGTACCCCATGAAAGGAAGTGGTGATGGCAAAGTCATCGTCAAATTTCTTTCGGTCAGTGGGAGATGGCAGTGGCTTCTTTGAAAGGCAAAGCTTTATCTTTTCTAAGAGTCCTTAAGATTTTGCCCATAAGATAATTAAACAAAAAAGGTAGTTAGGAAACATCAGTGCTATGCAAAAAACACAACTCACATAAGTGTAAACAGGTTATCCTTTTTAAGTGCAATTCATAAGAACTCAAAATTAATTTTGTGTTGGACGGTTTCTTCAGGAATCAAGAAGTGTAAGTGTTGGCTAGACAAGTCTATTGAAAATATGCTAATACTATTCATAAAATACTTATTATTAATGCAACTTTATTAGAGCAGCATATTAATATGTTACTTCCATCTTCAAAATCAACCCACCTTGAATGAGTCATTTGCAACAACTCACAAACTTTAAAAAGTTAGCCTTAATTTTTTAAATACTCTTTCTCCTTTAGATGTCATGAACAAAATCAGGCTTCTTATTCTAAGACTCATTAGTGTGGGGCTAAAAGCAATCTGTTCTTTAATTAATCTTAATTGTCTTATGATGTTATAATTAATAGTGAATGTAACTTCCATACTTTATATGCTTTGATATATAACTATTTTATTTCTGTTGGTTATTTAGTCAGAATGTTTAGAGTAAAAGTTGCATTTTTAGTTAAGTAATCTATTTTCTACATCTTTAGGAAATGAATTTATCCCTACAAGACTACCACTAACCAGTCAAATAGTGTTAATTGAAATTGGTAAGAACCAGTGAAGGGTACACTAAAATATTTTTGGCAACATATAACATATTCAAATTTTATTT